TCCAAAGGGGTTAACCCATGGTTTTGGTCCTAAAATGGCCATTTTTCCAACTTTTTTTTTTAGGCAATATAGAACAGGAAAATGTCTTTTACGATATTCTGGAACAAAAAAACGCCTTTCTAAGCTATAAAAACAAGAAGTTCAAAAAGTCGAAAAATTGACATTTTTTCAAAGGGGTTAACCCATGGTTTTGGTCCAAAAATGGCCATTTTTCCAACTTTTTTTTTTTTAGGCAATATAGAACAGGAAAATGTCTTTTACGATATTCTAGAACGAACAAACGCATTTCTAGGCTATAAAAACAAGAAGTTCAAAAAGTCGAAAAATTGACATTTTTCCAAGGGGGTCAACCCATGGGTTTGGTCAGAAAATCGGCACTTTTCCAACTTTTTTTTTTAGGCAATATAGAAAAGGAAAATGTCTTTTACGATATTCTAGAACGAAATAACGCCTTTCTAGGCTATAAAAACAGGAAGTTCAAAAAGTCGAAAAATTGACATTTTTCCAAAGGGGTTAACCCATGGTTTTGGTCCAAAAATGGCCATTTTTCCAACTTTTTTTTTTTTAGGCAATATAGAACAGGAAAATGTCTTTTACGATTTTCTAGAACGAACAAACGCCTTTCTAGGCTATAAAAACAAGAAGTTCAAAAAGTCGAAAATCTCATTTTTTTCCAAAGGGGTTAACCCATGGTTTGGGTCCTAAAATGGCCATTTTTCCAACTTTTTTTTTTAGGCAATATAGAACAGGAAAATGTCTTTTACGATATTCTACAACGAAAAAACGCCTGTTTAGGCTATAAAAACAAGAAGTTCAAAAAGTCGAAAAATTGACATTTTTCCAAAGGGGTGAACCCATGGTTTTGGTCAGAAAATGGGCACTTTTCCAACTTTTTTTTTTAGGCAATATAGAAAAGGAAAATAACTTTTACGATATTCTAGAACGAAAAAACGCATTTCTAGGCTATAAAAACAAGAAGTTCAAAAAGTCGAAAAATTGACATTTTTCCAAAGGGGTTAACCGATGGTTTTGGTCCAAAAATGGCCATTTTTCCAACTTTTTTTTTTAAGCAATATAGAACAGGAAAATGTCTTTTCCGATATTCTAGAACGAAAAAACGCCTTTCTAGGCTATAAAAACAAGAAGTTCAAAAAGTCGAAAATTTGACATTTTTCCAAAGGGGTTAACCCATGGTTTTGGTCAGAAAATGGGCACTTTTCCAACTTTTTTTTTTAGGCAATATAGAAAAGGAAAATGTCTTTTACGATATTCTAGAACGAAAAAACGCCTTTCTAGGCTATAAAAACAAGAAGTTCAAAAGTCGAAAAATTGACATTTTTCCAAAGGGGTTAACCCATGGTTTTGGCCCAAAAATGGCCATTTTTCCAACTTTTTTTTTTAGGCAATATAGAACAGGAAAATGTCTTTTACGATATTCTAGAACGAAAAAACGCCTTTCTAGGCTATAAAAACAAGAAGTTCAAAAAGTCGAAAAATTCAAACTTTTCCAAAGGGGTTAACCCATGGTTTTGGTAAAAAAATGGCCATTTTTCCAACTTTTTTTTTTAGGTAATATAGAACAGGAAAATGTCTTTTACGATATTCTAGAACGAAATAACGCCTTTCTAGGCTATAAAAACAAGAAGTTCAAAAAGTCGAAAAATTGACATTTTTCCAAAGGGGTTAACCCATGGTTTTGGTCCAAAAATGACCGTTTTTCCAAGTTTTTTTTTTAGGCAATATAGAACAGGAAAATGTCTTTTACGATTTTCCAGAACGAAAAAACGCCTTTCTAGGCTATAAAAACAAGAAGTTCAAAAAGTCGAAAATTTCACATTTTTCCAAAGGGGTTAACCCATGGTTTTGGTCCAAAAATGGCCATTTTTCCAACGTTTTTTTTTTTTAGGGAATATAGAACAGGAAAATGTCTTTTACGATATTCTACAACGAAAAAACGCCTTTCTAGGCTATAAAAACAAGAAGTTCAAAAAGTCGAAAAATTCAAACTTTTCCAAAGGGGTTAGCCCATGGTTTTGGTCCAAAAATGGCCATTTTTCCAACTTTCTTTTTTAGGCAATATAGAACAGGAAAATGTCTTTTACGATATTCTAGAACGAAAAAACGCCTTTCTAGGCTATAAAAACAAGAAGTTCAAAAAGTCGAAAAATTGACATTTTTCCAAAGGGGTTAACCCATGGTTTTGGTCCAAAAATGGCCAGTTTTCCAACTTTTTTTTTTAGGCAATATAGACCAGGAAAATGTCTTTTACGATATTCTAGAACGAAAAAATGCCTTTCTAGGCTATAAAAACAAGAAGTTCAAAAAGTCGAAAAATTGACATTTTTCCAAAGGGGTTAACCCATGGTTTTGGTCCAAAAATGGCCATTTTTCCAACTTTTTTTTTTAGGCAATATAGAACAGGAAAATGTCTTTTACGATTTTCCAGAACGAAAAAACGCCTTTCTAGGCTATAAAAACAAGAAGTTCAAAAAGTCGAAAATTTCAGATTTTTCCAAAGGGGTTAACCCATGGTTTTGGTCCAAAAATGGCCATTTTTCCAACTTTTTTTTTTAGGCAATATAGGCCAGGAAAATGTCTTTTACGATATTCTAGAAAGAAAAAACGCCTTTCTAGGCTATAAAAACAAGAAGTTCAAAAAGTCGAAAAATTGAGATTTTTGCAAATGGGTTAACCCATGGTTTTGGTCCAAAAATGGCCATTTTTCCAACTTTTTTTTTTAGGCAATATAGGCCAGGAAAATGTCTTTTACGATATTCTAGAACGAAAAAACGCCTTTCTAGGCTATAAAAACAAGAAGTTTAAAAAGTCGAAAAATTGAGATTTTTGCAAAGGGGTTAACCCATGGTTTTGGTCCAAAAATGGCCATTTTTCCAACTTTTTTTTTTAGGCAATATAGGCCAGAAAAATGTCTTTTACGATATTCTAGAACGAAAAAACGCCTTTCTAGGCTATAAAAACAAGAAGGTCAAAAAGTCGATAAGTTCAAATTTTTCCGAAGGGGTTAACCCATGGTTTTGGTCCACAAATGGCCATTTTTCCAACTTTTTTTTTAGGCAATATAGGCCAGGAAAATGTCTTGTACGATATTCTAGAAAGAAAAAACGCCTTTCTAGGCTATAAAAACAAGAAGTTCAAAAAGTCGAAAAATTGACATTTTTCCAAAGGGGTTAACCCATGGTTTTGGTCCAAAAATGGCCATTTTTCCAACTTTTTTTTTTAGGCAATATAGAACAGGAAAATGTCTTTTACGATATTCTAGAACGAAAAAACGCCTTTCTAGGCTATAAAAACAAGAAGTTCAAAAAGTCGAAAAATTGACATTTTTCCAAAAGGGTTAACCCATGGTTTTGGTCCAAAAATGGCCATTTTTCCAACTTTTTTTTTTAGGCAATATAGAACAGGAAAATGTCTTTTACGATTTTCCAGAACGAAAAAACGCCTTTCTAGGCTATAAAAACAAGAAGTTCAAAAAGTCGAAAATTTCACATTTTTCCAAAGGGGTTAACCCATGGTTTTGGTCCAAAAATGGCCATTTTTCCAACTTTTTTTTTTTTAGGCAATATAGAACAGGAAAATGTCTTTTACGATATTCTAGAACGAAAAAACGCCTTTCTAGGCTATAAAAACAAGAAGTTCAAACAGTCGAAAAATTGTCATTTTTCCAAAGGGGTTAACCCATGGTTTTGGTCCAAAAATGGCCATTTTTCCAACTTTTTTTTTTAGGCAATATAGAACAGGAAAATGTCTTTTACGATTTTCCAGAACGAAAAAACGCCTTTCTAGGCTATAAAAACAAGAAGTTCAAAAAGTGGAAAAATTGACATTTTTCCAAAGGGGTTAACCCATGGTTTTGGTCCAAAAATTGCCATTTTTCCAAACTTTTTTTTTAAGCCAATATAGGCCAGGAAAATGTCTTTTACGATATTCTAGAACGAAAAAACGCATTTGTAGGCTATAAAAACAAGAAGGAGAGAAAGTCGAAAAATTGACATTTTTCCAAAGGGGTGAACCCATGGTTTTGGTCCAAAAATGGCCATTTTTCCATGTGTTTTTTTTGCAATCTGGGTCAGGAAGAGGTGTTTTATAATATTCTAGAGCGAAAAAACGCCTTTCTAGGCTATAAAAACAAGAAGGTGACAAAGTCTAAAAATTGAGATTTTTCCAAAGGGGTTAGTCCGTGGTTTTGGTCCAAAATTGCCCAGTTTTTTATTTTTTTTTTAGGGAATCTTGGCCAGGAAAAGGTGTTTTACGATATTTTAGAACCAAAAAACGCTTTTAAAAGGTAGAAGCTATAAAAAGTAGAAGTTTAAAAGGTCGAAAAATTGATATTTTTCCATGGTTTTGGTCCAAAATTGGCCATTTTGCCATCTTTTTTCTATAGGTAATCTTGGCCAGAAAAATGTGTTTTATGATATTTTAGAGAGAAAAAACGCCTTTGTAGGTTAAAAAAAACAAGAAGTTGAAAAAGTCGAAAAATTGAGATTCCATAACCGCCCAAAGGAAGAGAGCTGCATGGTCACAGGTTACTCATGCACATGGATTCCTTGGCGCTTGGTTATATCGTACTTCCATTGTACACACATACCAGCCTTTTAAATTTTGTTCTTGTATTTACTCAGACTAGCTATCATGGATTTTCTAAATGGCTTAAGTCACCCCATGTAAAGGAATCCAAGACAGAGTCCTGGATTCTGAATACCATGCCGTGGATTCCGGATAGGATTCCAGCTACCGAATCCGGATTCTTTGTCAGAGGTATTTTGATTATGGATTCCAATCATTACTAGGACTCTAGATTCCTTGTGCTCTATTCCGGATTCCAAAGTCCAGGATTCCAGATTCCTCTAGCTAAATTTTACAGATACCAGATTCTGAATTCGAAATTCCCTTAAGACATTTGATTTGGGGTGAAAAGTAAGTCAAAAGGGGTACAGATTGAAATGAGGATAAATATGTTTTGTATGCCTTAATTAAAGATGAGAAGAACTAAAATGATAAATATTGTTGACATTTCTTTTACTTCTTTTCATACAAAGGAGAGAATTATTTACAAATAAAATCCGACAATTCGAGTGTTGAACTTGTCTTTCTAAACCTTAATACAATAGAACACTGACTGAAAGAGTTGCATGTTAATGCATCTGATCTTCACAAGGATACAAATTCTTTGTCTGTGACACAATTCAATTCACTTCAAGAAGACTTTGTAACAGATTCTTGTAGCTTACTAATCGAGGTAAATCCTTGGGACCAATTCGTTGCTGAAAAGAATGACAAATGCGTAAGGAAACAATAAAACTTGGTTAATTTTACTCTAAACTCCAATTAAATGTGTAAAAGAGAAATTTATTAAGAATATTCTATACAAAGTAAAATGATGTCAACTTACCGAAGATTTCGGATCTGGAGCAGCAGCAGGGACGAATTTCTGTGAAGAAACTGAGAAAGGGAGAAACAATTCTTTACAACTGCGAACTTCTGAAAATAATGAATTTGAAGGATTTTCATTCTACAAGGATAAATTAACTTTCGAATAGTTGAGAGGATTTGATATTAAAGATCAAAGCATTTTCCCCTTAGCGTTCACTTTATCAATTCTTATAGCCTTTTGTCTTGATTTTGTATTGATTTTGCCGGGAGAAAATTGATGTTGATCATTCTGGGGTGTTACTGAACGCAGAATGAAGAATTTCTTCTCACCTGGGGAATCTCTCCAATTCAGTAATTTCAAGAACTGTTCATAGTTAGCTTCATTTCTTTCGTTTCTTTCAACTTTTTCCATGAGTGCCTGTAGCAAGTCGTTCTTGGCTGGCACATTGAACCGTCTACAAGTGTTGTACAGTTCTTGAATGGGAAGAAATCCAGTGCTGTGGAAAAGAAAAAAGTGTTTAAAATCAGGTTATGTTAGAAACTGCCACATTCAGCCAAAACATTCACTTGTCAGAAACTTTTCACGAACTGCCAACTTTGTACCCTGGGTACCAGAGGTTTTTTCTCACGTGCATAGGGGAGCTTCAAAGGCTGAAAACACGAGTGGCAAAGTGGGTCACTTTTTAAGATCTGACTGAAACTGGAAACCACGCATGAAAAGCCTCTGGCACCCAGGGTACCAACTTGGTGATTGGATTTTTAAAATCCCAAGAACACCCCAAGCAATAAAACAGTACCATGAAAAAGTACTGCAGAAGAGGTTCTATCGTGGGATTTCATTGTCAAATCTTCCTCAAAGTCTAAAAGGCATTGCTGTCAACTCTTCCGGATAATCCAGGAGACTCCAGATTTTGGACCGTATTTCCTGGTCTCTATATTAGAGTCTGATATCTCCTGGATAAGCGCCAAAGTTGCTATTTGTTGTAGACTCGACTTTCTGACCATAAAATTTCAAATATTTTGTGTTGTTTGAGCTACTGTTAACATGGAATGTTTCCTCACAAATTTTGGTATGCCACTATAATTTAAGCAATAATGTGGCTAAATATGAACTGTTGATGTGCTATATACGTCAATGGGAATCAACAAGCATTTTTGGCACAAATGATGTCATTTGTTGTGCGATATGACGTCATCTAACATTCCTTCCCTATCAATTCTCAATATTTGATGACATGGGGGGTTGACAGCGCTGAAAAGGTATCAAGTGGTCTTATAGTATATCCACACCCACTTTATGTAGGTTAAATGGATATTTCAACATGGATTGGAGCTTACAAAATGCCAGGGGATTAAAATATTTAACTCAATCCCCAGCAACGCAGTTTTATTTAAAACTTATTATATCCTCTTTCTTCATTTGATGTAAAATAAGTTTGCATAATGACAGAATGGGAAACTGCCAGAAAATGTTTTCTTACAAACCGTGCTCACTCACCCAAGCACATCCTCGTGTCTACAAGAGTCCATCATGTTGGAGAAATCCTCAAAGTTTGCTTTTCTGAGCTGTTCTTGGATTGTAACAATCAACATCTGGAGATCATCTTCTTCTTCCTGAGAAGCATTAAAACATGCAATGATTAACAATCATCAGTTATTGTGAACTATCCCAGGGGGCAGGGGAGGGTGTTACTCACCAAAGTTTTATATGCGGAGTCTCCGCCCCGAGGTCCAACCCCTTACCCTTTTAAATACCACTTTTGGTGACCCCTTTCTCACTCACCTTTCACTTAGGAAATTTGCATCCCATTTAACTACTGTAAATGCACTGTCTTCAAAACATAAGTAAATCACAAAACCAGAGTCGGTGTTTTCTCGACTTTTTCTTGGTCACAATGCATCCAAGGGCCATTTGGGCCTTTCTACAGACCAATATGACAGATTTGCCTACCCTTTCATAAACTTTAACTGGCAAAATCATGATCCTTTATTATACCTAAAGACTGAAAAAGTTACCCCTTTTGAACAGTCTCTCCTTGTATAGGCCATTATGGGGAGTACCCCCCCCCTCCCCCTTGTGAATTACCAACTACTCAGCAGTCATTAACCCATTAAGTTCAAAAGTGACCAACATCAACTTTCTCCTGACAATATCAGTACATAATGAAGAGGAATGGTAACGAGAATGAATAAAATGATCACCAACAAAGGGAAAATGCTTTGATCTTTTATCAAATTCTCTCAACTAATTCTGTAAGGAAATGTATGTAGATCAGTCTGGAGAATTTGTATGTGGATACTGGGGCTTAATTAAGGGTTAACCATTGTTGTTCCTCTCACCATAGAATCTCCAAAGTGTCTGGATACTGTCAGTTGTTCATGAATTGTCAGCAAGCCTTCTCCATAATGCTGAAGAATTTCCCTGTCAAAGAAATATAAGTTTGTTTGTATTGCTCAAAGATGGGAAAAGACAAATATATCAAAATAATCCACAATCTATTAAAATATGCTAGTATAATAAGAATAGCACATTTCAAGAAAATTTATGACATTATTAATTTAGATAACAGTAATTATTAATTATAACTGACAATTGATACAAAATTAAAGATAAAACGGAAAGACAGTTAAAGAGCTTTCAAGGACTATGTCTGGTGATTGCTTACAAGTGCAAAACGAATCTACTGTCTTTTATTTTTCATCTTTAAAATAATTTGTATCTTACTTTGCAGTTATTTGTGTTCGAAAGTTACCTAAATCTACTGGCAGGTATTTTGCCAGAGTTGCTCTGATCAAATCTCTGGAACTCTGATTTAACTTCCTCATATTTGCTTTCTAGGATTTGTTTGAGTTTGGGGAGGATGAACTGAATATTGGCTTGAGGAAATTCAGATGAATGTTTCTCCATGTACATGACGGCATACTCGTCAGCGTCAATTAGGACGAACTTATATCTATGGAACTCCACATTTGCGCCAATGTACAAGTCCTACATAAAAATTAAAAAAAATGTTAGACAGTCACAACTTACGTCATTAAAATAATAATCAGAATTGGGTGTCTTTATACTTTTTTTTTTTACCAAAAATGCAGCCCTTAGCTCTGGCAATAACTAGAACATGGAATAGACATAAGAGAATTTTAGTCTAGAACAGGTCATCATCTGTGGAAATTAATCATTATAGTTATATTTTAGAGTTTCTGGTTCATAGTCTGAGATATGGTGGGTATTCTTTGTTCCTTGACTAGACTAGCTATAGGGTACTAGCAAACTGCAGCTGAACATTATATGGCGTAGGCTATGGGTTCCAGGGTCCAATCAGACCCCCAGAACCAATCTTAAAAAATCGCCCCATCTGTATTCCTTTTTCCAGAAACAAGAACAAAGAGAAGACTTTGCTTACTGGAGCAACAAAGTAGTTGACACCATCAGGTTTCTTGATTCTTCCCCGCTCCAAAAACTTTCCGCCAAGTATTCCAGAATTCCTCTGGGGTGGCTCAAACACAAGGATTGTGTCATCAGAGAGGAAATACGAAATAATGAACCTATAATAAAAAATATGCTGTTATTCCTGGATAACCAAAAGAGGCTTAGGTCATAGCTCACACAAGCCACTGCACTACTCAAGCGATCAAATAGGAGACTTTTGTTGGGAAGAATCTCTGTGGTTTAAGCAACTTGGACCATTGTGGAAAGTATGGAACTCTGTCATGTAAGATTGTCATAAAATAGACAATGTTATAAACTTGCAATCATTTTACACTGTAAGTACAGTCTACCAAAGTACAAATGTATGTTCCCAGCAGTTCTTGTCACCAAACAAATAAAAGAGTTTTTGACTAAAAGTGCTCAAATTGTACCACAACTCAAGCAAGACACCTTAATTTACGGCATACCTTCTATCCATATCAATGGGGCGTGTTGTGTCAAGACGCGCAACAAAGCGAAGAACATTGCTTTCCAGGCCATGTCTGCAAGACAAATACCAAAACTGTGACAGGTTTCAAGTAAAAGTCACCTGGGGCAGAACATTCCTGCATAATTTTTAGGTATGTTTTACAAAGCAAGAGGTGAATTTAACTTTTCAAAGTTTGTGCACAAAATCCTAAAACATGGCCATTCCAATGATAGATGTTCAGCAACAGCATCTGTACTGGGTCACTCTGGGGAGAAAAGGGGTTAAATTCACACCTATCCTTCTCCATGAATTTCTTGAAATCCCTGCGAGGAGGCTTAGGCCGAAGGCTGAGGCATGAGGCAAGGGAGTCTTCTTCAGAGCCAAATCCATTGTAAGGTGGCATTTCACGTGGTGGGAAAGGTTCTGGGTCAGCTTTGTAGTTAATGCTGTCAAAATTATCTATGGGTTAAAAAATTCAATAATAAGATTTGCGTTAGTGTCATAGTTCTTGTTTCATTAACTTCACCAGGCTTTACATAAACTACACTACTGCAGCTGACTACAGCTGAACCGAAAATTCCCATAAAAATCTTGTATCACTACCCTACCTACATTTCCTTTCATCTAATCCTAAGATCCTTCATTCCCACCAAAATGAAGACTAGCTACTAAATGCCCAGCAAAAGAAAAAAATAAAAAGCAAGAAAAGCAAAAGAAGAGGGGAGAAGAAAAAAAAACTGTTGCGTCATTATTTTTTGTAATCTTATTTTTTTTATCTCAAAATTTTTCTTTCTGCACATGCCCAAAATTCAGAGACTAATATTTTGCATCTGGATCGGAAGGCTGTGAAGTGTACAACCTGTAAACGGTGTTTTGTTGAGTTTCAGCTCTTTATAAAGCAGCTCAACTAGCTTCAAAATGATATAATTGGTTAAATAAAACCAGTCAAGATGGATTTGAGTCAACTTACCAATTCCATATTTTGACTTGTAGTATTCCTTTGTAAACTCATCACAGTCACAGATAAGTAGTTTACGGCCCCAAATGTTGATAACAGAGCCTATAGTAAGGTCACTGTCATGATAATAATCTGTATGAACTGCACCAGTCTGATAAGTAAAAAATATACATAGCTAACCATTTTGCCAGCAGTCAACCTTTTCTAGGTTGTTATAAATTCAAAAAGTTTTTCAAATTATTTTGTAATTACATGATGAAGACGTGCAACACATCAAAGCAAAGACTTGTAAGTTAAGGGTATTGCGATCTTTTAAAAATCACTATTCAATTTATTACTACTTTCTCAACCAAATGATTTACTCTTTCCTATTTATAAATAAAACTTACAAGTATAACAGAATTGCTTATAATGACATGTGTAGCCCTAACTTTCTATCAACAAAATACAAATGATCATGAAACTTCCTAAGGGGTTTTTCACATGAACAAATATTTAGCTTTTCAAAATGAAATTGTTTATTTCAAGGAAATTAATAAATATTAAATTTGATCACTTCTAACAGGTTAACAACAAATTAAATTTGACAACATTCTACTCAAACAAAAACAAGCATCTTACCTTCAGGCTATCTAAAATCCATCTTCCCCCATGTCCCATGGGTCCAAAAACATTCAACACTGTTCGTCCAGTTATCTCTCCTGGCTGGCGCAATGCTGCAGGCTCCTGATTTGAAGAAGAAACATCTCATTTAATGAGATAAAATCAAAACAGTGCAGGCACAAAATGACCCTGACCATATAACTGCCATACCTCAATCAATTGCCTCCCTCAAATAATTACCCCCCTTTGACAGAAATATGTAAAATAATCGACTCTGTCAAATAATTTATTAGTCAACCTCACCAAACTCTCACGATCTTCTCTTTCTTTTTACCACCAAAACTGATTAGTAACGATTTAAGTTCTGATGGCAACGATATTGACTTTGAAAATTAGTCAAGGAACTGAATTTGGAACACTTAAAAAGAACTGAACATATTCTGTATACTTCTGTTTTTTAGATTTAATGGCATAATAAAACACAAATATTTAGGGGACAACTTCCAGGGAGCAATATTTGAAATAATCACCTCCCTTGAACAATTGCCCTATTTTTGTGCCAAAAAAATAATTGCCCACAGCTATTATTCAAGGAATTACAGCAGATTCATAAAATTGTTAAAATAGTGATAAAGAACCTTTGGTAATCTTGCACGCCTTAGGAACATTGGCACAGCATCACGGCCACTGTTGTTTGGAATCCTCTCACATATCTCTACAGTATCATCAGCAAGGAAGTAATGCAATTCCATTTCACGAGCATCACCAAACATGCTACAAACAGAGAAATGATCAGCATGTCATGGTGATTGAACAATACGACACAATATTGACACGTATGAGCTAAAGAAAAGGACAACTGAAATGACTAATAAAACACATCTATTAATTTTCAAGAAACTTCTTCACTGGTTGCAAAGACCTGAAGAATGTCATTATGTGTGGTTAAATCAGAACTTTCGGAGGAAGTTGATTTAATAAATAGCAGTATTTTTTTGTGTCACTGCTTCAAATGTTAGAATATTATAGAAAGCGTAAACTCCGACTTACCTGTCAGAGTCATCCCACAAACAATAAAATCGCAGCACGTTTCGATCAAATTGAAGAAACTGTTTAAGGGTATCCTCTTTTTCATAGGGTCGCAAAGGCTGCATGCTCTCAACCAACTGAAGAAAATAACACATTTCAGACAAAAGTATTGACCTTAAAGACAAAGTAGCCTGTGCCACTGACAAAACAAAACCTCATGGTTAAGATCATCTGTGAAAAAGTGCCGAAATTCTTGTTTATTATTACCTTAACAATCAATAACCCCCCGCCCCCAAAGGAAACTAAATCAGACAAGACTTAGTTCGCCTATTGACAAGTTGATAATATCTCTGTAAAATAATAAAAAAGTAAGGACTGGTGCATCACCATCGTCCCACTAAGAACATAAATTAACATCGTTTACCATGGAAAGTAAGCACAAGTCAACTGTTTAATGTCAATTTAACAAACCTTCTTACGATGGCCAGTGTAAGGATCACTTGGAATACCCTCTGGGTTGTTAATTCGAACTCCAAGTTTGCGGAGAAAATTGTGAGTGAAGTCATCACACCCCTGTAAAAAAATCAAGGTAATTACATTAAGTTTTGTCATGTTTTGTAAAAACAAAATCTTGTTATTTTTTCTTCAAGTTGCACCAATACTTACAGTGATCTTAAATGTGCGGGAATACAATGTGATTTCTTGACCAACATTGAAGTTTTCCACGGTATAAAACTGTTCATCATTTGGTGGAGAAAGTGGAATACGATGACGACGAATCAAGGTTCCTGTTGGTGACAGTCAGTTTGTCAGTTATTACTGAATGATATGCAAGGGCCTGGCCCCCCTTTTGTGGTTTATTTCAGCAATACATGTTCAATGCGGAATCCAGGCATTTGCTAAATTTAAGCTTCCAGAATGCACTAGATTGCATCTCAGCTTCTTAAAATCTTATTGAGCAATCACTTCAATCTCAAAAATTTTCCTGGAGGAGCATGCGCCCGAAACTCCCTCATACAAAGTGCACTACCAGCGTGCAAAGAAAGTTGTGTCGGATAGCTCGGGGCAAGTGGATTTTGCTATCGGGCTAGTGATTTTTGTTCTTAACTTGCCCGACGGGCAAGTGCTGTTTTTTGGGGAAATTCAAATTACAGAGGGATTGTAATCAGTCCTGCTAATCAAAAAGGGTTTGGGGGCTACTTGAAATGACTTGTGGGCTAGTACATGCTAGCTACAGCTTGCCCGAATGGCAGGCTGTAAAACTGACTTTCTTTGCACCCTGGCTGCGCACAGTCCTGATGGGAGCTATTGTGCCCATATTGCCACTGTATACTAAATCTATTGGCCCCCTCACAAAATCGTCCGTTCACTCCTGATATGTTCTCTAGATGTAATATGTTAATGATGGACCGGTATATCACACATACTACAGTATTGATGTCATTCATACCCTGGGGAATTCCACTGTTCTCGACTTTGGGTTCAATCACTTGAATGCTATCATCTTCCAAATAAAAGTAAATTTTGCACCTGAAGTGAGCAGAGATAAAAAAAATTAGGTTCAAAATACATTATTTTCTTGTTAGAACCTGAAAAAATGGTAGGGATTGAAAACAATTTAGTGGTCACACATCGACCAAGTCACTCTTTCATTTCCACTCTGGTTGGAATTTGAATTTCAGAGTGTTGGTTTTTTTAGGTGAGGGAGAAAGGAGGACTTGGAGATAAACCTCCAGGAGCAAGGGCAAGGACTAACAACAAACTTTACCCACATATTGGTGAGTCTGGGGTTCAACCCCACGCCAGATTTAAGTGAGAAGTAAGTGACTTCACAACTGCGCCACATACCCTTGCCTCCATAAGAATGAGCCACCTTTGCATTTCAAGTTTTTACTCACAGGGCTCAAAAGAGTCCTTTCAGGTTAAGTGTAGCCTGGGACAAGTAGATTTCCATTCCAAGCAAGTAACTTTACTTACTTGCTCGCCTGATGGTCAAAGACTGAGGCAAATTATATCGTAACTAAAAAGTGAAGTAAGACAAGCATTTGAGAGGAGCTTGTCAACTGAGCAAAAATGGATTTAAATTTTACTCAATCTTGTACTCAATAAAGGAAATATGGCAAACCTTCTGATTCTGTACTGTTCTTCTCTTTTCTCATGTACAGCTTCTTGAAAGTAGGCATCAAAACATAGAACCTGTGTAACAATATAAGCAAGAAAATTCATAAGCTTTCAAGCTTCATAGAGCCATGACGTTACGGGTGTCAAAAGCCTCAATACTTTTCGAGCTACACAGGAATTAAAAAATGAACATAATAGAACAATCCATAGTGTCCACCCGTTTAACCATTCAGTCTTCAAATCTCTGGCCAGTACAACCCTGAGTGGAGTATTCTCATATCTAAGGATGCCCCCTGCCCTCACCTGAGAGGGTTCAGGCCATTTACCAGTGCCTGTAGCACAGTGGGTCTCTATTTTTGCACTTGAGCATCTCATGAATGTACAAGATAGGCCTGTTTTAAATTAAATGCTACACATCAAATGTGCCAGGTCTACACTGTAATGCAAATGAGTGCAAAATAATAAATTAATCGTATTAGCATGAAATTTGGCACATGCGAAGTTCAATGTTTCAAGCAGACCTAAGGTAAAGGTAAGGTGCACATGAGCCAAAGGTGCAAATGGTCGGAGCTTATCCCATTTTCCTTCGCATTAAGCATGCCTAGAAATATTGCTACTCCCCGGCCCCCTGGGCGGGATACTAGTCCATCACAGGGTTACCCCCAGCAGTATGTCACCAGCACCCATTTATACACCTGGGTGAAGGAAGACAAAATGGAGTGAAGTTCCTCGTCTAAAGAAACAACACAACAGGCAAGGCTTGAACCACGGACCTCCAGATCCAGAGTTCGAGGTGTTAAGAGCTCAGCAACACACCCCTCCACACACCTAAACCACTTTGTCTTTAAATCATCTCTTATAATAAGCTTCACCTGTCTATCAAATGCAACCCATGCTGGGGCCTCTCCTCCGATCCCCTTTGGATAAGCACTGTGTCTTGGTTTCAGCTTTTGGCCTGGTAAAGGATCGCCACCTAAACAGAAATAGATGAACGAGAAAAGTAAGATTTTCCCTTAAGTTTTACTACCACACTTAACTTATAAAGCTGTATAAAGCTGTAAATAAGTAAGCTTTACTTAAAGTTTCGCTAAAAACAAATTAGAGTTAACCGTTATTGAAGAGAAATGAAAAGAAAAAACACAAAAATAAACTAATAGCTGCATATGGCTTACCGATTCCACTTTTGTCTTCTCCAACATACACAGATACATCATTCCGGTAATCAAATTGATGTGACTTGTGAAATTTTGTTTTTCCAATCTGTCGGGAGAAAGAGTCGATTCAGAAAAGTTTCACGACCAAACGTTGCGTTGATCGAATTTGAATCAGAGCCAACATTTCCTACCTTTCTGTCAAAAACTTGACCTGGAAGAAAAGGAAGAGCCATGACTATTCTTCCAGCAAAATCCTCTCTGCTTCTCTGAAGGTTGCCTTTAATCCTACTTCCAAGATGTCTCCCTTGTTACTAATAAATGGCCGTCGCTATGATTTTGGGGTTAACCATGGCAACGTGTTCCAAATCTTACGTCACTTTTGATTGGATAAAAGCGTTCTATTTTTCATATTACACCAATCAGAGCGAAGAATAGAATATGGAGTTTCTCCCGCGAACTGCATTTGTTTGTGGTTTCTGTTCGTTGAAGAAAGACTTGATTTTCCGAGAGACAAAATATGTGATCGATAGTTTTCTTTCACAACATTAACCCCGGGGCTCGCGTCCAAGTAAAATGGCGAGGGGAAATTGAGGACGGAACTATCCGATACGTGGGGAAATTGGTGACTAAAGATGGCGATTGGGCTGGTCTTGAGCTAGACAATAGAGGTAGTGTTAACAAGCTTATAAGTGGTGCTTCGATCTTTTTGAAAAATAATTTAAGTCATTCGTAACAGGGAAAATGAATCAAGGTCAAGTTTATATCAATGTCTAAGGCCCAAGTTTTCGTTGATAAACGTTGGACTGAAATGTCCTTGTGTGGGCAAGTACGTTGTTGGGGTGACAAGTACCAATGCCTCGTGTTTTAATCTTAGCTGATCGAAATAGTTGTTTGATTGTAAGGAATAAGCAAGAGGTATTCTGTTTGAGTTCTCTAAAACCTTCTTATTTAAACAGATCAATATTTTTTACCTTCATTAAGCTTTTAAAAAGTATGAAATGTCAATTTGAAAATATATACAGCCCTGCAGCAAAAAATGCACCCTAGCCAGATAGTAGTGTGAATTGGTTGGTAAGAGACATTACACTTGATCCAACAAGATTGAAGAAGTAATAATGATCTCGAGTCTAAGAAGCCGTAGACAGCTGTTTTTGCTTTCTTAGTCTTCATCAGTAGAGAGCAGCTATGATTTAGGGTCGCATCTTCCCACAAAAGCAATACCCTGGTGTAAGTCATCTGATGAACAGCTGGGGGAATATTGTAGTGTCTGTGAGGCTGAGTAACTTTCAGACAAGCGTAGTGGCCTTGAAACAGAGACATAGACAAAATGACAAAGACGGGTTGAAACTACTACTCTGACAGAAAAGCACAAATACAATATTATTGTAAAGTACCGACAGTGACATGGCTTCCTCCTCAATCTGCCAAATGACCCTTCTTGGAACTAAGACTGAGGACATTCTCCTCCTACCTCATATATCCCGGCCAATCAAGTTTGTCTCTGAAATGAAGCCCCTTACATTCTGTAAGAATTTGCAGAATTGGCATCTAATATCTTTAGAATTATCACATAACCCTCAAACTTAGAGTAGAAAACCAAAAAAACTGGTGAAATCAACACCATGCTGATGTTTTTTCTTTGCCATGATTTTCAGTTGGTAACACAAGCGGTCTGTACAAGGGCATCCAGTACTTTCACTGCAGAGATGGATATGGCATATTCACTCATGCAAGAAACATCAGATTTGTTCCAAGCAAAAGAAGGTAAGTCAAGCTTTGCAAACAAAGAAAACTACAAATTTTGTTAATACCTAATTTTAAAATGAGCATATCACAAGATGGTGTAGTAAATTGATCTCATGGATAACAATTCCCTCATTACAGGTTACATGATACCTACAGACCAGTTTCTAAAACCTCCTTTGTAGACGAGACTCTCTTTGCTAGGACTGAAGGTACAGATATTTTTTTTCACATTTTCAATTTTCAGTTCAGTAACAGCTAGCAAGATCTAGCCACTTATTTTAAGACCCCTATGTATGTTCTGGCTGGAATTTCAACTCAGCACCTCCTGTTCAACAAACGACCCTGCATGTGAATACAGAGGTACCTAAGTGTATCAATTCAACAGAGTTTTTTCACTCACATGGCCAGCAGCTATTTAGGTAAATTTGTTGGGATAAAAGGAAGTGTTTGTATAACAAAAAATTCAACTCCCACCGGAGGCCTCAGCTAATTCTAATGATAAATAAAATTATTATAAATTTTTATAGCTGGATCGAAATCTATGTTCTCTTCCTCCTCAACAGTGACACCAGTGAAAAGCTACTCTGATCCTGAGGTTATATCACACAAATACCTTAACAGAGTAAAGACATTGCTTCAAGGTAAGTTATTTTAACTTATTCTATTATTATTTGATTACAGTTCTCTAAACACTCCATTATTAGCATTTAGTGACTTAACTTGCACAATCCACCATTTACAGTGCACCTAGGACCGCCATGTGAATGCCAGCATTGGACAGGTTTTTTTTAACTTTTGAATTGCATATATCTTTATTTATCAATTTTAATTTGCAATAGGTGAAGATGCTTGGTCTGATTTAAAAACAACTAAGTTCAATAAAAGCCACTCGGTGGGAGCGCACATTCCTTGTGCAACAAGCCAAAGAAGTCAATCAGCAATGGCAATGAACCCAACGGAAGATAACAGCTGGAAGAAGCCATTTATTTCTCCTTCTTCTATTCCTAACATCCACGTTCCGCGGCCAATTCTCAGGCGAATGCTGAGAATGGAATACTTTGGTACAACAATACCAAGGCATTCCAGTCTCTCCTGATGACGAAACATCTACATGTAACAACGCATGCTCACCAAAGGTTTTGAAGATATGTTCGTGTTTTGGGTGAGATTTAAGGCGTATTTTAGCAAAGTTTAGATACCAAATTTTTGATTTACTGAGACGTATAAGTTTTAACAGGCAAGAAGTACAGTCTTACCCTTTTAAGACAGAAACCAAAGGGAAATTTCTGATGCTCCCCCTGTTGTACGTTTAATCCATTTTCAGACCGTTCAGCCAGTATTCAACACTAGGTATAGTGCATGCCTGATTAAATGAACCGTGGTGCCAGCCTGGTTTGCTGGGCTAGTTTGCTCTGCCAAAATTGTGGCATTGTAATTAAACTCAACAAAAACCAACTTTGTGTTTACAACCAGTCCGTGCTTTAGCTGCAAATCTGGTGTAAACCAAGGATAAAAGTCACCTTAGCAAAGCCAACTAGACCGAAAAAACTGGGCCAGCATGGCTCATATAGTCACGCCCCAAAGATTTAGAATGTCCTTTGCTTGTTAGTCCTAGTTAATCGTATGAGACAAAGGAAATTCTAGTTTCACCTGAAAATGGATTTTTTTGACACCCATCTCTACTATGTAAGGATATGACCTCAATAAATAACCACTTCATAGTAATTAGAAAGATTTTGTCCACAGACTTTAGTGTTTGAATCTTCTTCTAGAACATAATAAACCGTACCACAACAAAAACATCGTTCAGTATCTTCACTTTAACGAATATTATCCAAACACCAAATCCAATATGAAAACGGATAGACAATTCAAAGTAATATATACTTGGTCCACAAATATACAAAGGAGAAAACATTATGCATCAATCTACCGGTATCTTTTTTTTCTTTTATTTTCATGTATCTTTAATGTTTATTTCCATTTAAAAGTGTACAGAAAAGTTAGTTTTAATTCTCAGACACAGTTTTGTTACATTGAAGCTTAATCGTTAATCTAAGACTTATTTGAGAGCTTCCTAGTGTTTAAAGTTCTCTCTGTGTTAGACAATTGCATTACAGACAACGGAAAAAGTCAGAGTCACAAATTCATGAAACTAAGTTTCTTTATTTAATATATAACTGAAGTTACAGTTTTTCACAGAAAACCTATTTTTATTTTATAAAGTGACTAGGAGGAGCTTTCTGTTTTGTTCATGGACAACAATTATGGAATAAAGTTTCTTATTAACTTGTACATGGATAAAGATGTTTTTAATGTCTCTTTATTAAAAAGGTGAAGCTTTGTTTATCGTGGAAATACACTTAGCTTTCAAGCTAGTTTGCAGGCACTCCACTCAAGTGCAAACTCAAACAAATAATGACAGAGCAGATTCAAGACTGCTGATTGTTTTTGAAAATGGTGCAAGATTTTTAGCAATCTACAGAGAAAACAATGCAATACCGCAGGAACAAAATCTATTTCACCCTGGTTGTCACTTGCAAAGCAAATATAGCTTATAGCATCCATGTAAGAGTCTTGTGTCCACTAAAATGAATGTAGACACAAGAACAAGCACAAAAAGGAAAAATATTAATCTTTGTGCTTGTCCTCTGCAAAGCGCTGAATTGAGGTTTTTTATGCTTGCATTATGTTAACTTTCTACTCACGTTTTGAGTTTAAAATTTAATGTGAAAGCCTATAAAAGATGAGCAGTTTAACTGTACAAAAATATATCCTGCAATAAAATACAAACATGAAAAAACAATGTTAAACCTTAAGTCCCAGAGCTACCAGGTGTTGTGTTACTTGTTGATGTCACGCCAGATGTGGGTGTCTTTGGTGTACCTGGACTTGAGTTTCTCTGTTGTGTGACGCTTGAACCTGTCATCCCAGTGGGTAAAAGGCCCACAGGTGACAACAACCCTGCCGAGGTGGGCGTGGTAGGTGTTGTCCCCTTTGGTGTAGTGGGCACTCCAGTTTTTTGAGATGATAAACTAACAGCAAAAGCTCCAGGGGTGGTAGGGGTGACAGCTTTTGCTGGAATTGCCCCAGGGGTAGTGGGCGTGGTTGGAGTGGTCACACCCAGGGCTGGTATCCCTGATACTGTCCTTACTGTTAGTGTAGATGGCTTTTTCATTGCGTTTATTGTCTGTCGCATCTGGGAGACTTTGGTGCAAAGAAGACGTCCCATTCCTCCAAACTCTTTTTCATACTGTTCAGGGGAATCAGGTGGCAAGCGTATTCTCAGTAAAACACCAGGACAATGTTTCTACAACAAAAACATACGAAAATGATGAAATCTGCGTAATAATTTGTTATTTTTGTTAATCCTCTGTTCTTCGTGTTCAAAATGGCTACCTTATAAAGTTCTACTTTAGAGTCTGTGGGTGAAAGCCTAAAAATGTGACCATTCAAATGAAAGCTACTGAGCAGTACTTTCCTGTGGTACTGTTTATTATGCTGTACAAGGTGGTTCTAACTTTTGAGTCTCTGGATGAAATCCTAAAGTATGACCATTCAAATGAAAGCTACTGAGCAGTACTTTCCTGTGGTACTGTTTATTATGCTGTACAAGGTGGTTCTAACTTTTGAGTCTCTGGATGAAATCCTAAAGTATGACCATTCAAATGAAAGCTACCGAGCGGTACTTTCCTGTGGTACTGTTTATTATGCTGTACAAGGTGGTTCTAACTTTTGAGTCTGTGGATGAAATCCTGCAGTGGCACCATTCAAATGAAAGCTACTGAGCAGTACTTTCCTGTGGTACTGTTTATTATGCTGTACAAGGTGGTTCTAACTTTTGAGTCTGTGGATGAAATCCTGCAGTGGCACCATTCAAATGAAAGCTACTGAGCAGTACTTTCCTGCGGTACCGTTTATTATGCTGTACAAAAGTCATGGATCTATATAATCACCAGTAGTAGGTTCTTGAGGTTTTCTGCAGCATTTTTCTCAATAGGATCCAAACCTTCCTGACCTTGCTTAATCAAAACACTTTCAGTCTTGAGTCTTGAAAGAATAAGGACTTTAATAACCTGTAAGGTAACAACATCACAGTGAGCTCTTTGGAGAATAAAATGTTGAACTATTGATTAAAAAAAAATATAAGCTTAAGCTCAAGCCATACCTCTTGCCCTAATTCAGCTAACCCTGTGAGGGCCCCATAATGAGTGGAAAGTGGAGCTTTTTCTTGCTGTAATGCCTGCAAGTTGAGTGATTTTAATACATTTTTAGCCATAAACCTGTCAAACACATATTATAAAATAAGGCCTAAAGTTGCCCGTACAAATTATTTTAAATATTCATTTTTTCATAGATATATTAATGATTGGAACTCTTTGCCTTCTGAAGTAATGTCATCTCCTAGCCTTCAGTCTTTTAAAGTTTCACTGATTAAGTACCTTCGCTCATAATTTACCTTAAAATATTAGGCATAGTGTCTTTAATATAAGTTTATGCATTATTATTAGGCATCTAGGTTTATAATTTATAGTCTAATTTATAGTCTTTTAATATATGTTTATATATTAATTAATTTTTTTTTTCTTTTTTTCTTTTTTCTTTATTGGAAGGTATGTCTTAGCATGGGAATTTGGTTTCCCCCTACTACCGTCCTGTTAACCATTTTTGCATTTTTGTTCGATTGTATATGTTAGTATTAGTTCATTTGTATCAGTTATGTATGGTTACGAACTGTGATTAGTAATGGTAACAGGACTGAGTGGAGTCCAATTCGGTCTGTAATCATACGAGTGATTAACAAAATCGGACGACCGCGTAGCGGGAGTCCGATTTGCTTAATCACGAGTATGATTACAGACTGAATTGGACGACACGAAGTTCTGTTACCAATTAATCATAACTTTAACAAAATTTGTGATACAATAGGCTATTTTTTAAACCAAAACACAAGAAATTCGAAATCCTGTTTTGCTAGCAGTGAAAAAAAAAAGCCATTTAAGCGCGCGCGTGATGGCGCGTACTGTCCGATTACTTAGGCATGACGCGTACTGTCCTATTAAACTGTCCAATTAAGGCTGAAATCAGGGCAGTTGAGAGCCAATCAGATTTGAAAATTTTGTTATAGTTATGATTAAAGATTAAAGATAATTTACTTGGGACTTTAGGAAGGTTCCAGTTCAACTATTTTTTAAATAGCAAGTGACATGATTAGAGATGAACATGCCGACAATACAGACCTTACAATAGGTTTTCGTAACTCTTGTCTGCACATTGTTTGTGGTTGAATTAAACGACCTGACAAAGAAATGCACTTAAAGTTATTAAAGTAATTAGTCCACAGATAGTAAGAGAAAAGAAACATTAACATAACAGTAACTTTCCACTAGCCGAGTGTAACGAAAAAAGTAGAAAATGTTAACCTCACACAGCGCTGGGGACCTGGGTATAGGTCACGTGACCTAAAGGTGGGCACTTGCTTTTGATGCATGCACTATTACTGACCTTCTCATCCACCCACACTAAGAGTTTAGTTTTGTAGGCTGTTTAAGGTCTTTCAATACAGGTTTTCAAAGGCTATATCAATATTTTTCAATTGCCTTAAAAGTGTTTTTTTCCTTGTCTAATCACTATAAAATTTTCACCTGTAATTGGCCATGGATTAAAATTTGTAAAAATGTAGTTCTAAGTAAAATCAATATTACTATGACAAAAAAAATCAAAAAACTTTGAAATAATTTGATAAAAGGCAAAATTTTGTAGGATGTAGACCAGCTACTGAAATTTCAAGCTGTTGCAGTAAATCAATCTTAATGACAGTTTCAGCCATTAATATACATTATGAAAATTACGTGACGAGATTTTAAAACAATTCGTTCGAGTCATTTCAGAGATATACAAAACAGGCCTAAAGCTCCAAATATTCAATAAACTTCCACTTAATAGACAGGTGGTAACAAAACGGGTTAGTGTTTAAGATCACAAGAATAAAAATACACCAAAATTTGCTAGCATAAACATATGATATTATGCAGCATTCTGACGCTACTTAACAGTAATTTGAGTCATTTATAACGCTTTCATTGAATAATCTCTCACGGCTATCTACTGGAAAACACATATCATTAGCGATATGTGTTTCCCAGGTGGGGAAACACATATAACTAGGGATATGTGTTTCCCCAGGTGGCAGAACACATATCACTAGGGATATGTGTTTACCACGTAGAGAAACACATATCACTACGGATATGTGTTTCCCAGGTGGAGGAACACATATCACTAGGCATATGTGTTTCCCAGGTAAGGGAACACATATCTCTAGGGATATGTGTTTACCACGTAGAGGAACACATATCACTACGGATATGTGTTTCCCAGGTAGAGGAACACATATCACTAGGCATATGTGTTTCCCAGGTAAGGGAACACATATCACTAGGGATATGTGTTTCCAAGATGGGGGAACACAAATCACTACGGATATGTATTTCCCAGGTGGGGAAACACATATCACTAGGGATATGTGTTTCCCACCTAGGGAAACACATATCACTAGGGATATGTGTTTCCAGGGTGGGGGAACACATATTACTAAGGATACGTGTTTCCCAGGTGGGGAAACACATATCACTAGGGATATGTGTTTCCGCTATAGGGGAACACACATCACTAGGGATATGTGTTTCCCACATAGGGGAACACATATCACTAGGGATATGTGTTTCCCAGGTGGGGTAACACATATCACTAGGGATATGTGTTTCCCATTTAAGGGAACACATATCACTAGGGATATGTGTTTCCCAGGTGGGGGAACACATATCACTAGGGATATGTGTTTCCCACCTAGGGAAACACATATCACTACGGATATGTGTTTCACAGGTGGGGGAACACATATTACTAGGGATATGTGTTTCCCACGTGGGGCAACACATATCACTAGGGACAAGTGTTTTTAACGTGGGAGAGCACATATCACTAGCGATATGTGTTTCCCAGGTAAGGGAACACATATCACTAGGGATATGTGTTTCCCTGGTGGACGAACACATATTGGTTAAAAAAAAAAGTTGGAAAAATGGCCATTTTCGTACCAAAACTATGAGTTAACCCCTTTGGGAAAATGTCAATTTTGTGACTTTTTGAACTTCTTGTTTTTACAGCCTAGAAAGGCGGTTTTTCGTTCTAGAATAACGTAAAACACATTTTCATGGTCTATATTGCGTAAAAAAGAAAACTTTGAAAAATGGCCATTTTTGGACCAAAACCATGGGTTAACCGCTTTGGAAAAATGTGAATTTTTCGACTCTTTCAACTTGTTGTTTGTATAGCCTAGAAATGCGTTTTTTCGTTCTAGAATAACGTAAAAGACATTTTCCTGGCCCATATTGCCTAAAAAAAAAAGTTGGAAAAATGGCCATTTTCATACCAAAACCATGGGTTAACCCCTTTGGAAAAATGTCAATTTTTCGACTTTTTGAACTTCTTGTTTTTATAGCCTAGAAAGGCGTTTTTTCATTCTAGAATAACGTAAAAGACATTTTCCTGGCCTATATTGGTTAAAAAAAAAAAAGATAGAAAAATGGCCATTTTTGGACCAAAACCATAAGTTAACCCCTTTGAAACATTTCAATTTTTCGACTTTTTGAACTTCTTGTTTTTATAGCCTAGAAAGGCGTTTTCTCGTTCTAGAATAACGTAGAAGACATTTTCCTCGCGTATATTCCCTAAAAAAAAAAGTTGCAAAAATGGCCATTTTCGTACCAAAACCATGGGTTAACCCATTCGCTCCTGGAGATTTTGCCGAAAAACGCGTTTTGAAGCTAGTCGAGTGGTTTTCTGGTCACTGTCGTGCTATAAAGAGCTAAAACTTACCACAAACCGGTTTACAGGTCGTACACTTGGCGGCCTTCTGATCCAGATGCAAAATATCAGCTTGCGAAGTTCGGGCATGCGCAGAAAGCAAAATTTCGACATAGTTTTTGGGTTTAAAAGTGACACAGCAGTCTTGACTTTTACTTTTCGCTTTCTCTCCTCCCTTCTTTTTTCGCTTTTCTTGCCTCATTTTTTTTTTTCTCTTGCTGGGCATTTAGTAGGCTTCATTTTGGTGGGAAGAGTTTTTAGGAAAGCTTTTAGGATCTTAGGATTAGGTGAAAGGAAAGGTAGGTGGGTAATGGAACAAGATTTTCATGGAGATTTTCAGGTCCTTGTCACGTGGTTTTTTGCTTCTTTCTCCGGTGCCCTTGACTGAATTGTGCTCATTCTGGTATGGTTTGAAAGATCTCTTCACTCTGCACACGTGTGCGAAGAAAGTTGTCCTTGACCGTTACAACTGATGACGTCACAAAGGGTAGAAAGGACCTGAATCCGCACGGGCGGTTACGGGCGGTTCAGGGGCGAATGGGTTAACCCCTTTGGAAAAATGTTAATTTTTCGACCTTGTGAACTTGTTGTTTTTATAGGCTAGAAAGGCGTTTTCTCATTCCAGAATATCGTAAAAGACATTTTCTTGGCCTACATTGGCTAAAAAAAAAGTTGGAAAAATGGCCATTTTCGTACCAAAACCATGGGTTAAGCCCTTTGGAAAAATGTCAATTTTTCGACTTTTTGAACTCTTGTTTTTATAGCCTAGAAAGGCGTTTTTTCATTCTAGAATAACGTGAAAGACATTATCCTGGCCCATATTGCCTAAAAAAAAAAATTGGAAAAATGGCCATTTTTGGACCAAAACCATAGGTTAACCCCTTTGGAAAAATGTCAATTTTTCGACTTTTTGAACTTCTAGTTTTTATAGCCTAGAAAGGCGTTTATTCATTCTAGAATAACGTAAAAGACATTTTCCTGGCCTATGTTGGTTAAAAAAAAAAAAGATGGAAAAATGGCCATTTTTGGACCAAAACCGTTAACCCCTTTGAAACATTTCAATTTTTCGACTTTTTGAACTTCTTGTTTTTATAGCCTAGAAAGGCGTTTTCTCGTTCTAGAATAACGTAGAAGACATTTTCCTCGCGTATATTCCCTTAAAAAAAAAACATGGAAAAATGGCCATTTTTGGACCAAAACCATAAGTTTTTCGACTTTTTGAACATCTTGTTATTATTGCCTAGGAAGGCGTTTTTTCGTTCTAGAATAACCTAGAAGACATTTTCCTCGCCTATATTGCCTAAAAACAAAAGTTGGAAAAATGGCCATTTTCGTAGCAAAACCATGGGTTAACTCCTTTGGAAAAATGTTAATTTTTCGACCTTGTGAACTTGTTGTTTTCATAGGCTAGAAAGGCGTTTTCTCGTTCCAGAATATCGTAAAAGACAATTCCCTGGCCTATATTACCTAAAAAAAAAGTTGGAAAACTGGCCATTTTCCTACCAAAACCATGGGTTAACCCCTTTGGAAAAATGTCAATTTTTCGACTTTTTGAACTTCTTGGTTTTATAGCCTAGAAAGGCGTTTTCTCGTTCTAGAATAACGTGAAAGACATTTTCCTGGCCTATATTGCCTAAAAAAAAAAAGTTGGAAAAATGTCAATTTTTCGACATTTTGAACTTGTTGTTTTTATAGCCTAGAAAGGCGTTTCTTGGTTCTAGAATAACGTGAAACACATTTTCCTGGCCTATATTGCGTAAAAAAGAAAACTTCGAAAAATGGCCATTTTTGGACAAAAACCATGGGTTAACCCCTTTGGAAAAACGTCAATTTTTCGACATTTTGAACTTCTTGTTTTCATAGCCTAGAAAGGCGTTTCTTCGTTCTAGAATAACGTGAAACACATTTTCCTGGCCTATATTGCGTAAAAAAGAAAACTTTGAAAAATGGCCATTTTTGGACAAAACCATGGGTCAACCCCTTTGGAAAAATGTTAATTTTTCGACCTTGTGAACTTGTTGTTTTTATAGGCTAGAAAGGCGTTTTCTCGTTCCAGAATATCGTAAAAGACATTTTCTTGGCCTACATTGGCTAAAAAAAAAAATTGGAAAAATGGCCATTTTTGTACCAAAACCATGGGTTAAGCACTTTTCAAAAATGTCAATTTTTCGACTTTTTGAACTTCTTGTTTTTATAGCCTAGAAAGGCGTTTTTTCGTTCTAGAATAACGTGAAAGACATTTTCCTGGCCTATATTGCCTAAAAAAAAAAGTTGGAAAAATGGCCATTTTTTGACCAAAACCATGGGTTAACCCCTTTGGAAAAATGTGAATTTTTCGACTTTTTGAACTTCTTGTTTTTATAGCCTAGAAAGGCGTTTTCTCGTTCTAGAATAACGTAGAAGACATTTTCCTCGCGTGTATTCCCTAAAAAAAAAAGTTGCAAAAATGGCCATTTTCGTACCAAAACCATGGGTTAACCCCTGTGGAAAAATGTTAATTTTTCGACCTGGTGAACTTGTTGTTTTTATAGGCTAGAAAGGCGTTTTCTCGTTCCAGAATATCGTAAAAAACATTTTCCTGGCCTATATTGCCTACAAAAAAAAAACTTTGAAAAATGGCCATTTTTGGACCAAAACCATGGGTTAACCCCTTTGGAAAAATGTCAATTTTTCGACATTTTGAATTTGTTGTTTTTATAGCCTAGGAAGGCGTTTCTTCGTTCTAGAATAACGTGAAACACATTTTCCTGGCCTATATTGCGTAAAAAAGAAAACTTCGAAAAATGGCCATTTTTGGCGAAAACCATGGGTTAACCCCTTTGGAAAAATATTAATTTTTCGACTTTGTGAACTTGTTGTTTTTATAGGCTAGAAAGGCGTTTTTTCGTTCCAGAATATCGTAAAAGACATTTTCTTGGCCTATATTGGCTAAAAAAAAAAGTTCGAAAAATTTCCATTTTTGGACCAAAACCATGGGTTAACCACTTCAGAAAAATGTCCATTTTTCGACTTTTTGAACTTCTTGTTTTTATAGCCTAGAAAGGCGTTTTTTCGTTCTAGAATAACGTAAAAGACATTTTCCTGGCCTATATTGCGTAAAAAAGAAAAGTTCGAAAAATGGCCATTTTCATACCAAAACCATGGGTTAACCCCTTTGGAAAAATGTCAATTTTTCGACTTTTGGAACTTCGTGTTTTTATAGCCTAGAAATGCTTTTTTTCGTTCTAGAATAACGTAAAAGACATTTTTCTCGCCTATATTGCCTAAAAAAAAAAAGTTGGAAAAATGGCCATTTTTAGACCAAAACCATGGGTTAACCCCTTTGAAAAAATCTCAATTTTTCGACTTTTTGAACTTCTTGCTTTTATAGCCTAGAAAGGCGTTTTTTTGTTCTAGAATAACGTAAAAGACATTTTCCTGGCCTATATTGCGTAAAAAAGAAAAGTTCGAAAAATGGCCATTTTCATACCAAAACCATGGGTTAACCCCTTTGGAAAAATGTCAATTTTTCGACTTTTGGAACTTCGTGTTTTTATAGCCTAGAAATGCTTTTTTTCGTTCTAGAATAACGTAAAAGACATTTTTCTCGCCTATATTGCCTAAAAAAAAAAAGTTGGAAAAATGGCCATTTTTAGACCAAAACCATGGGTTAACCCCTATTGAAAAATGTCAATTTTTCGACTTTTTGAACTTCTTGTTTTTATAGCCTAAAAAGGCGTTTTTTCGTTCTAGAATAATGTGAAAGACATTTTCCAAAAAAAATTGGAAAAATTTCCATTTTTCGACCAAAACCATATCACTTGGGATAAGTGTTTCCCAGGTTGGGAAACACATATTACTAGAGATATGTGTTTCCCAGGTGGGGGAACACATATCACTAAGGACATGTGTTTCCCACGTGGGGGAACACATATCACTAGGGACAAGTGTTTTTAAGGTGGGGGAACACATATCACTAGGGATATGTGTTTCCCAGGTGGCGGAACACATATCACTAGGGATATGTGTTTCCCAGATGGGGAAAAACATATCACTAGGGATATGAGTTTCCCAGGTGGGGGAACACATATCACTAGGGATATGTGTTTCCCAGGTGGGGGAACACATATCACTAGGGATATGTGTTTCCCACGTAGGGGAACACATATCACTAGGAATATGTGTTTCCCACATAGGGGAACACATATCACTAGGAATATGTGTTTCCCACATAGGGGAACACATATCACTAGGGATATGTGTTTCCGATGTAGGGGAACACATATCACTAGGAATATGTGTTTGCAAGGTTGGGGAACAAATGGAAGGTCCAAATGCGCTAGATCAAATGTCATTACGTGTATTCCGTTCATTCTTAGTGGAAGTCCAAACAAATGCTGGCTACATATATGTGACACATGCGTAATAACAGCCTGGAGATTAGGATTGCGGGAGACAAGAGGAACCCCATAATTATAACTTGTTAATGCTTATAATGACACATTGCAGATAGGCAGACATGAAGTAACAAACCTGCAGATTTGAGCAATAAGTCTTGAGCCAAAGTCTCTTAATGCCCAGTGATTATCTGTGTCTGGCTTTGGACTCAACTGTTTACTTACAATACATGTCATCACTGCTGGGATTAACTCATGTAACTGAAGAAACAACAAGAGATCCTTGAGTTAATGTCAAAACTTAACACTTACTATAATGCTAGAATACCGTAAAATTCCGAAAGTAAGCCCCGGAGGGGCTTATCTACGGAGGGAAATTTGCGTTTTAAAATCGATTGGGCTAGCCTTCTAGTTGGAAGTAAATTTATCGTTTTTGCTTTGTTTTACTCTGTATTTGAGGGCAATTTTCCAGGTACAAGCCCCCGGGGGGCTTATATTTGGAGGGGCGATTTAACGGAGGGTTTTTTATGCGTTACAGTTTTGGGGGGCTTATATTTGGAGGGGCTTATACATGGAGGGGCTTATTTGCAGAATTTTGCGGTAACTAAAACAAAAATCTTAGGGATCCTAACCTAAATAGGGACCCTAACCCTAACCCTTTCAGAGAAAATGCCCACCTACCCCTCGCCTAAGCCAACATTATAACTTAATTCTCACTTAGGGAAAAATGGTGGCTTAGGGGAGGGGTAGGTGGGCAGTTACCCAGAAACCTAGACTGATCCAATTTGAGATCTGACTATTAGCTACAGAATCTCAAAGTGTGACATCGTATAAAGTTAAATTTGTAAAATTATGGGATTTGTCGTGATATTCTTTTTAAAAAAAACATCCAAAAGGCCTACTTGCCAAAAACTGGCATTTCAGGGCAAATTGTCTCAGAGATATTAACCAAGTTATAGTCTGGTTTATAAGGTTATGAACAAAGGCAAATTTAGAAGGATTTGTATGGAGTAATCGGAGCATAACTGGGCTAATATCTCAGAGACAATTTGCCCTGAAATGCACATTTTTGGCAAGTAGGCCTTTCAGAATATCCCAACAAATCCCATAATTTCAAAACGTAATTCTCATGACATCATCACTTTTGAAGTCTATCAGCAGCCCTGATTTTTGCATTAAAAGGACAGTGTTTTTAAACATATAGCATGCATCACGCTTAACTGAAGCATCAGCAAAACATAGACTGAATCAATGCCTTAAGTCGCAGACAGGATTACAGCGGTTGATCCGATCCAGGTTTTGTATACGCCGTACCTAATCTTGCTAGGTACAGTGTATGAGGAAGGCAAGCTAGGTAATGGACAGAATGTATCATTGGGCATGCCATAGCAGGGCAGTTTTTTCTTAATCTAGAAAAAAGGCTTCGGAATCTTTTTGTCAACTTATTATGTAATAAAACATTAAGACTACACTGTATCAATGTGTTTTTCTTACAACTCTGTATAAGAGGAATAACTGTAACAGGTCAAAATTAAATTCTAATCCATGGATAATTGGCGCAAGGAGATAAAGGAAATTGACAATAAACCTACGTTAAAAAATTTAACCTGAATTTCATTTTACTCTGTAACATAACCACTTACATATTTTTCTAAGTAGAGGGTAGGATTGTCCAACAATGCTTTCACCATGCGCATCAAGTAGATTAATAGCACTAGGTTATTCTGGGCCACATTTACTCTTACCTACAAAAAATAAAATAATACACAAAAACATGAACAAACATTAAGGCAACAAACTACAATAGGTTCAAGTAATTTTTAGGAATGTACTACTCTTTTAATGACTTACCCCTTCAGAGATAAAAGTACTAAATCGTGGCAACATTTGATAAAGTCCTGGGTCTGTTGACAAACTCTGAAGAGCTTCCTAGAAATAAGTAGAAACGTGTCAACTGTAAATCTTTTGTTTTAAAATAAACAACCATTAAGAGCCAGAGAAATTGTGAAAACAAAATAAACTGCAGTCAAGTCAAGGTTGTAACGGAACTTTGAAGTAAGTGGCCATATTTTGAACTAAAAAAGTAAAAAACGTGCAGTGTTTCATCTTTTCTGAAAATACTAATCAGGGTTTGCACTCTTTTGAGTTCTTCAAATTCCATGACTTCTTTCATGACCTTTTCAAGTTTTCCAAGACCTTAGGTTTAGCTGTCAGTTTCAAAAACTCAAACACCTTCCTTGTTTTAGAGTATTTTTTGACCTTTAACAGTTCAAGAGACACAAACTCTGGCATCCACCAAAAATGCGTGCCGTTTGCACTGTTTAGTTACTCCTTCCTATTTTTCAGTGTACATTGTCCTTGCGTTGACATCTGCGGTAACTTATCTAGCACACAAAACTTTAATTTTCCGTAACTTTCAAGGACCGACAATTAAATTCCTTGACTTTCCAGGCCAGGAAATTGAAATTCTTAAATTCCATGACTTTCCAGGTTTTCCATGACCTGTACGAACCCTCTTAATAAATAGTTCAGCAGGTTTGCTGTCCAAGACATCCTCCAGTAATTTTTAACAGAAGATGATTTTTGCCTTTAACCAGTTCCTTTTCATACCTTAAACCAAAAGGTGCAAACTCTAACTGCACATTACAAAAACGTTCTTTTGAGAAAATTTTATCATGATTTATTTTTTCACTTTTGGCCTGCACAGGTAGCAAGCAAATCTTCTGATGAATTTGGAACATGAAAGAGAAACCAAGTTTACTTGCACATTATTTTTTGGTTGTTCTTTGTTTGTCTCTGTTTTTGCCTCACCTGTTTCTTGTAGTAAAAGTTTGGACAAAGAGTGAGTTAAAGAACCTTGGGAAACCAAGAAAACTTAGTTTTTGGTTTAAAAGGCATATGCTGGGCACACTGGTTTTCACAGAACCTTGAACATGAAAATCTGTGGATCTTATCAATATTGCAAGTTAGTAGCAAGCTCATCAAATCATTATGCAAGAAAACTTACAGCTCTTCTAGATTCACAGGATCCAACACAGGCCTCTGTAATTTCCTTGTAATATAGCTGTTGCTCCTAAAATAATACACACAGTTAAGATTATTCCTGGGTGTTTCTCTCATCAAATCCATCTGCTCCTTGGCAACTTCAAATGATTAATGACTGTACATACTTAAAGAACTTGGTTATGTTATGTGGACCCACTCATGCTTAAATTAATAATACTTGCAAGAAATAATTATCAGGGTTTTCATTAAGAATTCTAGTAGCAGGAGAAAGGTGTAACATTACAGGAGAATATTCTGAAAGAGGCTCCACGTCTGAATAAAAAATAGTCATAGGCTACCAAATGTAAGAAATCTGCCTAGTAAACAGAGAATTCTCCAATTTTGAATGCCTAATGACCACCCTGATTATTCCAAAACCCTGGACATCCTGATCATTCCAACCAATTCCCTTTTCACCGAAAAGGGTTTGAAAAATCAGGATTGCACTACATACACACCAGTGATGCACATTGCAATATGGTAAAAACAGTACTTTTTCAACATAAGAAGACATACCACAGATAATTCATGAGTAACTTGTGGTTTTGTTTGTTTATTCTTGTCCTCAGCACTCTCAGCAGTAGTGTTGATGCCAGCTTTTTTTACAGCTGCTTGTTTCTTTCCTTTATCTGCTGTTTTTGCTGCCTGTAGTTTAGTTGCTTTTGTTCCTGCTGGTACTGCTGTGGCTTGCACAGGTCTACTATCCTTAGCATCTGTATGGTGGGTAAAAGGAAACACTAATATCAGGCCCGTGTTGTTCAAACATTGGACAGAGCTATCCTCCGTATAAATCTCTATCCAGTGGATAAGTATTAGGGAAACCAATAAAAAATTGCACTATCCACTGAATAGCATTATCCATCTTTTGAACAACTGGGACTAGGAGCATGGCAAATAAATTATTAATTGTTTAATTATTAATTATTTATTAATTATTAATGTCATTCACGCTTAAAATTTTACATATGCATAATAGGCACATAGCAGAAAAAAAATGAAATTGGGTGAAAATTTATTTCAACTAATTCAAAATATTTTTAAGTAGCCTAAAATAATAAATTTCGTCTACTTCATTTCATAATAATAATAATAATAATATAATTCATTTATATAGCGCTATTAATACTAATAATTCGTAGCACTTTCCAATTTACTAGGGAGCATTACTTACGCTGATGGAGAATGTCAAGTTTTCATACCATTTTGTTGACAACAAACTTCAAATAAATGATGGTTGATATAACAGAAAATTTAAGGAAATATTTCAAAGAAACACTTTATTCAGGGATGTCACTAAGATTACAAGTTGCCATGTAAATACAACAAGTAGGCAGGGAATAAAAAAGCTCGGGATTTCTTTTCATTATATTTTTCTTCTATTTTCCTATGAAAGTAGTTGGGGGCCACGTTTATGGTGGCTGGTGGAAATCCCCGGCCCCTAACAGCCCTGATATACAATGATCTCAGGAAAGTTCCACTGTCAGATTCTATTCAACAATGCACAGACCTGGAGGAGGGTTTTCTGGAATGGCAGGTTGAAGACCATCAATACTCAGCCAATGAGCTGAAACAAAGAGCATGTTTTGTTTAATACAAGCGTATGTTTATAACTTCAAATGTATTAATAAATTATTGTTAAATGAAAAGTATGGAGGTACACAATAAATCAATGCATGTGAATGAATTCCTTTCGTGTCACCATTCTAACGAAAACTCTTTGGCTGAACTTTCATGAAGTATTATTCGTTTTTCAGCAAATTATAAAATGAAATTTGGAAATTTTGTTGAATTTATTTCTTTTTGGCAGTACTAATCCACAAATTTTAACTTCTAAAAGGTACAAAGAGCAACCCTGCCATATTTATGCAGATTATCCACCCCCAGGGTTTAACCCTGGGAGATTATCCATCCCCAGGGTTAGAGCCTAGGAGATTATCCACCCCCAGGGTTTAACCCTAGGAGATTATCCACTCCCAAGGTTTGACCCTTGGAGATTATCCACCCCCAGGGTTTAACCCTTTAAACCCCGGCTCACTAGTGACAAGCAACCAATTTCTTCTAGCGATAATACAGCCTGATTAATCATACAGGTCATGACGATACAAGAAATGATCACGGAAGATAACATAAAATCATAACGTCTTGATATTTGAACAAGCATACCATAAAAAATGTATAATGAACAGTGTGGAGAATATGCACATTGATATTGAGGCTTAAAGGAATTAATAGTTACCTTTGATGGTCACATCCAGTGGAATACGAGGTAACTGAGAACTGACAATGTCATTCAAGTCAATCTCAGGATCATTATAATAATACAACTCTCTCCCACCACCACTGGCAAACCGGAATGGGATAAAATCCTTAGAGCTAAAGCCATAAAGAGGCTGTGAAAAGAAAAATAACCAGCAACATCAAGCAATTAAATAAATGGACCTGTTCACTGGCTGCATTTAAAAACCCAATTTTTAACATCTATTGACATTATTTTTATCGTTCACTGCTTTTTGTCTGACGTGCATGGGGGTGTGTGTTTATGTAACAACCACTTTAGTATTTTGAATTAATCCATAAAGCATCCTAGCTAGATTAACTATTTTCTAGGTGGTTTTATACCTTACATAACTAGTATTGTCTTTTTTCCTCTTCTCTTTCTGGGTGTGGTATAAGAAAGTTCTCGTCTTCTTATTATGGTCAATGTTTTTGCTATTATTGTTATTATTATTTTTTAGAGTGGTCTAAAATGCTCAGTATTAAGCAACAGACCTATGAGCAACAGACCTGCTAAAATGCTCAGTATTCAGCAACAGACCTATCCCATAAATAAATAATAAATAAATAAATATTTCATCCACTTAATATCTATAAGCAATCATAGTACTCTAATTCAAACAAAACCTACATAGAAGTACATTTCTGTTGTGCGCTCATTATGCTGTTCAAGGTGGTTCTTAATTAATATGAAATCCTGTCATGTTCATGTAATTATTTGATGTAAAGCTACTGAGCAGTTTTTTTGTTTAGTGCTATTCCATATTATGCCCTTGGATGACTGAGTCTTTTATGAGGTTTCTGAAGCACCAAGAAAGGTAAAAGTTACTTTTAAAAAGCACTATTCAAGGTCAACTTAATTTTGTTGCATCATTGCAGTTGTTTCTTGGTGTTACAGATGGGTGCGATCACCAAATGATGTAATAGAAAAGATTGAAAAGACACGGAACAAAATCAACACCCAAAAACAAAAGCAAACCGACAATGGTTTCTGCAACATCAAGAAACACCCATAATTGCTTGCCCTTAGTACACCACTATACAAAGACTTGTCGGTGAAAGTGCCAAAACACAATACAACTTCAGCTGGTTTTGCCCAGTAAAACTGCCACTAAATCAGCTGATTTGTATAAAGCATAATTTAACACAGGCATACCTCAATGTTCTGTACATGAAGTGCACTGTCAATGTCTCCAGTGATGAGTTTCCTACGTTTTGAGTGTTGCATAAATTTAGCTGCCTCCTGCATTCAGTGATAAGAGGAAATAATAATTCTTTACTGGGATTAGCTTGCTATGGGCCATACCATTTAATATACACCCACCTCCCACACAACATTGAAAAAAGACTGAAATTATCCCTCAAAAAAATGCTCTTTTTCCCCCAAAGCCCTGAGAAAAATTCATTGATGAACATATATATCCCCTCAGAAAATGTGCCCTGCAAGTCTCACAACCTTCTGATATTTTGGCTATTCTGCTGTCTCCCACTCAGTAACTTTGGTCTTCAGTCCTACAACCTTCAGAAATTCCATAGGAAATTTTGTCAACGGGTTGGCAGGGACGTTCCATTTTTATTCCGACCGAGTTGGGGCTATGTGGAAATCTTACCAAAATGCTTAGTTTTAAAGTTCAAAATTAAAAAGCTGCAATAATTTACAGTGCAATTGTTATAACCTCGTTAAACACAATCTAGCCATTAATTCAATTCAACTGACCTGTGTGAGTTGTTTCAGTCGATACGTTCCGTCATCTATCAGCAAATTTAAGGCTTCATCGTTAAGACTGGAAATTCCTACAGATTCTGAAATTAGCTTTATACTTTCTGCCGTCAACTGCCCTTCCACTTCAGTTCTATCTTCATCGTCTTCCATTCTAAATCAAGGAATTACGATTTGCAAGCACTCAACTTATACGCCGTATTTTCCGCCATTTGCAATTTGAGCATCTTTTTGGCCAGCGGATGAATTGTTACGTTGGGTAGGTGTGTCATATATGATTCCTATACAGTCCTTACTGCCCAAGGTCAGCATTAGATCCCATCCCACTGTTTTCTGCTTTCATATCACACTTAGATGATATTTCAAGCTGGAAATGTTCATGAAAGTGCAAGTCTCTTCAATTTAAAGAAAAACACAGTAAGATTCAAACCCATGACCCAGATGGTCCAGTACACTACGCTAACCAATAGACCACTGAGAATTTGCTAGGTGGAGCTGAAACAATTTAAGTACACATAGCATCAACCTCAACCCAAAAAAAGAACGTAACCAGTTTCCAAACAGTGTTTAACCCTAAACATTAAAGGCAGTGCTTAACCCTAATTAATGAAGGGGAAAACTACGTTGTGTAAATTTCATGAGGTGTCCGAAGGGGCTAAGGTCGATGGGATCTAATGCTATGTACTTCCTGTTCTGGGCCAGCCCAGGCTCACTGTTTGTGTCACGCACGGGTTTCATAACATCGGTAAATATGGACAACATATGGGGCGAAGATTAGGACTTGAAATTTGCTAGAAAATGCAAATAAAAATCGATGAAACTTACCATCTGAGTTGTTGTTGTCCTTAATATGTACACGAAGTTTCGGGTAAAAATAATCTCCTTCACATTTCCTTCATGAAGGTTCTGGGATACACGTATTTCTAGTATTGAAAAGAATCACAATGCACACCTGTGATTGTCATCTGTTCATGTGATTGGAGGGTATGATATTAATTTTCTGGTCAAATCAAATAAAAAACAGGCTTCACGGGCTCACCTCATTATTAGCAGCTGAGTGCGTGATACCTTGGTTTACAAATCGAACACCATAGACCAAAACCGTTCACTAAGGTAAGTCAACTCCTTCGAAATTGAAGTGACTTTGTGTAGCAACCCAGGACTCCCTAGACTTCTGACATGCTTAGAAGACCTTAGGACGCCCGTGGTTCTAGCATTCGCGCTTTGTTTTCGAGCGTTGTGAATATTGGGTCACTAAGACTGTCAACTTCCATCTACGTTTTGCGCGACCCTTCACCTTGGCAAAGAATAAGAAGTCAGGCGGGCGTGGAGCGACGATCGAGCTGGTGAAGCACCAAAACTGACTCACGTACGCGTTTTCAACGCACTGTGAGCAGGCGTGTTGTCATGTTAGAATCCGGGGGGACTCCGCATATGAAAGGGGTGGAGATGCTCATCGGAAATTTTGAATTAAACCCCTAAAGGAGACCGATCTGGGCGTTGCCCAAGCTTTCTTGACCCCTAAAGAGACCATGTTAAAACACAGACAAATGAGAAAACTTGGATTATATGAATGGAGTAAATAAAAATATCAAATACATATTTTTTTTATATTTTATCGCGTGCAACGCTAAACGAGACCTTCAGGGCTAAATATGATGGCGTTTTGCCCAGAACATCAACACCAAAATCCGAAATTTACACCCCTAAGCGAGACGACGAGCATCCCCACCCCCCAATTCCCATCACAACCTGTGAATGCAGCCCTCTCTCCTCACTCCTCGCCATTAGGGCTTAACGGCGAGGAGCACGCTCCGTAAAAAACTAAAATCTTAAATTAAGACTCCCAACGTCTTGCCTAAGATCGGCACTTTCTTAATTTAAGTCTAATGCTCGTCACTTTATTGCCCTTAGCCCTTAGCCCTTAGGCCTGCTTCAATATTTCAGGGGTCTCCTTTGTCGATTCCCCAAGTTTGACCCTTAATTCTGAGGTCTACCTACCCTTGGTACCAGGGGTTTTTTTCTCGCGTGCGACGAGGAGCTTCGTCAACCGCAGGCCGACACGTGTTCGGCCGTAGGCCGAACACACGAGCCGCGCGGATGACCGAAACCGGAAACCGCGCTTGAAAAGCCTCTCTAGCACTCAGGGTAAGGTTGCTAAAATCTAGACCGTAGATTCTGGGAGATAGACGATAGGGGGTGGACTACGGATTTTCGCTCTTATTTTGAAATAGCGTTTTGAAACTAATGGTTCCCATCACTTCTGTTTTCTCTCTGAAATACTTCGAAATTTATCACCAAAAACATTCCTTGATCGTTACAACGCGACGGCCGATCAACAGGACCAAGGTTGTTTTATTGCGGTTTTGATGCTAGGCAACTGTGCAGACACCATCGCGCCAAGATATAGAAAGGTCGGTACGCTACCGATGTAATGACAATCACTTTAAAAAAATGCGTGGATCTAAATTCTATTAAACGTTGTTGTTTTTTTCTTTCACGGATTCTATTTTATAAACTTTTTTTGATGCTCGAAAATTAGTTGGTAATACCGATAAAAATATTTATTCGTTTTTACCCACGATTGCGTGACAAATTTGAATTAATAATTAATTAACGCCCGTGTAACAAGTCTCGCATAGTTTGTAGTAACTATGAACCTCGTAAAAATGTCTGTAAAAATGGTATCCTCCATCGTCTATCATCTATCGTCTGGGGTTTAGCATATGTTCCCAAAAACTCGTGAAACACAGCACGACGCCACTCGCAAATCATTCCTACTGCGCACATGATCATCTTGCGCTTTAATAGTTCGAAACAGGAGCCATTTTTTGACGGGCGAAAGTGCAGGTGTCGGGGACTTTGACCAGTTAGCACGCTTTCCAAGATCAGCGGGAGAGTGGACTGTAATAAAGCTTGACTCGGTGCGAAATCAGAGACTGCTAAATCAGTTGAAGTTACAGTACACATAATATAAAGTTTAAACCAAATACTATTAGCCTTTGTGATATAGCTGGATATTAGCCCCAACGGCGCACGCTCTTATTGGTTACTTCGAGGTCACATGACATCTAATAATGAAACTGTTTCCCGCCAAAATCTCTCAGCGGGCGACATTACAAAATCTATGACGTCAAAGGGTAACAGTGCACTGTTCTCCGCGAATATGTTGACCGACGACAACTGTTACAGCGAGGATTAATGAATTCCAGCTTCACAATTTCCAGCTATGTTTCCCGAGAGACCAGTCATTAAGTGTTTAATGCTTACCACCTCAGGACTAGCGGGGTCATTAGTTTCGATTAGAGGGAAAAGTTGGCCTTAGGGTATGGGGCATGCATTTTACAACTTATAGCATTGAGAAAAAAAAAACTAAAACAAAAAAATGACAAGAAGTCTCGGAATAGGAGGCCTTGGCACCCCAAGATGACGTTAAAAGTTAACATTTACATATTCATATTTGTTTTTGTTTCTGTTTTTCTCTATGCTGCTACAATGCTCATTTTTCAGATTAAAAGAATTAATTATTGCAAGTGAAAAATGGTTCAACTACGTCTTTACTTTTTTTTTTTTTTTTTTTTTTTTTTATAAATGCCAAAAATTTGGGTCTGTCGGACGACGCTAAACGGAGAAAAAAAGAGGATGGCCTTCCATTGAGTGATGCATTTTGATGATGAGAAATGAACTGATTCAAATTTCCGCGTTTTCAGGATGACTCCGTTGACGGACGTCCACGTTCACTGGCTCAACTCAAAATCTGCGCTCAAAATGCTGTTGAATTTCAGCATGATCATCCTGATCGTGTCCGCAGTTTTCACTTTTGGAGCTGAAGAACGAAGAACCTCTCTTAAATATTCTTATGGTGGAAGTTTAAAAGGTAGCCATCGTTCAAAGACTAGTTATTCATACAAACAAGAGACATCATGTCCCAATATGTTGCGATTGCAAAATTAAGTAAACAGTACACATGTTTATATAAAGATCCTGGCACCTTTCCGCGGGAAATCCTGACATTTTAAGTTGTTTCGATGCCATCATTCGCCGTTCAAGAGCGGCGAGGCCATCTCTATGTTATATGGATTGACGTTTGGTACGATACAGTTTTGGTAAAATCAATATTGCCATAATAAAGATGGACAAGAAAGTTTCAAATCAGAGAAAATAAATATTTTGTGCGATCTAGACTTGCAACTGAAAATCCGACATCACTGAGGAATGGTATGTAGCGAATTAATTCTACCAGAATAATAAATTCTGTACGCGATTAAATTGGGATAAATCGCAAAGACTATTCAATCCTTACTCTTTACTCTTTACTGTCTTTCCATTGCAGTAATAAATTCATCAATAAATGAATTTCGTATGTCTGAAATAACTCAGTAAGTGGCCGATTCAGGAAGGCCTCTTCTAAGGTGATTGAAAAATGTCCGTGCTTTGGAAACTATTCATAGTGACACCTTAAGTCAGCTCACGCGACTTTGTGACCGATGTTAACGACTGAAAAAAAGAAGGACAGACTACACACGTATTTTTTTTGATGTTCACAACAAAGATGAACATGTTTAACTGGAAACAGATAGGTTTATTTCCTTCTCAGAGGTTCCTTCAGTAAAGTCGTTAGCGTTTAGCACAAAAAAAGTACAGTAAAAACCCGCGACTAAGAACCTTGTTTTTAGAGCCTGTTAGGCTAAAATTGTCGGTTAGGCCCCCTCTATGCAAGAACCTGTTTAGCCTAAAATTTGAAACAGGTTCTTATTTTTTAAAATCTATAAAAAAAAAACCCTGTACACTTGGTCAAATAAGATAAGTCAACATTCAGGATCCTCTTTGGAGACATTGACTATTTTCCAATTGCCCATAATACACACTGTTTGTCTTAAAATGCTCTTGGGAAAATGCAATACTCCCAGGAGCATTTAAAAACAATGGTTTATGCAGAATTTGGGGGGCAAACAGAGTGTATTATGGGCAATTGGAAAATAGAGAATAGGTGCCTTGATATCACTCCAACTGTATACTAATTTAATATGGAAATTTTATATGGGAATAGGCTGAATACTAATGAATACTTAAGTACAATATTTTTTTTTTCTTCGGTAAATAAGAACCTACTTAGGAACCTAAATAGCCTAACTTTGTGCTAATTACCATTT